AACGATGTAACGCGCCCATGCTGTTTAATCATGGTTCTTGAAGCTGTGTAAAGTTTTTTTGCGAGAAAGCCCGTTTAGGGAAGCGGCGTTCGAAAAAACTATAGTAACATTTTCTGCAGCAGAAGGTTTTTGGCAGAAAGTTTTGTGTGGATACGTTTTTTTTCACATCAGTTTGGTTTCCATCCGCAGCCATTTTGGCTTTCGTCCACGGCCTTCTTGGCTGTGCGCGGGCGACCGGCGGTGTCTCCCAAGGCGCTATTCGCGCGAGTTGCGGCGCGCAGAGCTAATTGTAGGAAGCTTGTCGTTGTGTGATACGCGCAACGAGTGAAACACGAAGCGCTGGCTGAAGCGGAAGGGATTCACCACACCTTTTGCGACATACCTAGCAAATGGCTGGCCAAGCGCTCGTTGAGTTGGAGCAGGATGGGAACGGGCAGGTTGCGAAGGCTACTTGGCGCTCTTGCCGCGCCTATGCTATGTCATGGCAACTTGTTTTGTTGGTCATGGTCATAGCCGGTCTGCCCTTATGCTGCAATCCTTTCACTATGGTTTTTGTCGTCATAGTTACAAAACGTTTCCTGACAAGTGACAAGGCCCTGGCCGCATTGGTTGGACCGAGAGCGATGTGAGGGGCGTTGCGATGGGTATGTTTGAAGGGCTTCCGCTGTGCGCCCACAACCTCATCAAGAACAATGAGTGGAAGGGCGGAGGAATTGTGAGGTTGGACAACGCCTTGTCACGGCCATCAGCTGGCGACGTTGCAATCAACTATCACATGCTCAAACCGCTGATAACATTTTCGCCAGACAAGGCGCGCCGATTGCTCACACACTTTTGTTGGAAGCTTGGAGAAGGAATGGCCTGCCAGTTCATCTTTCATTTGATTGAGGTTTGCTCTGGCAATTTGTTGAAAGCTTGCGGGAGGAATGAAGGGTCTGACAGTTGATTTCGTGTTCGACCCTGCAGGTGTGCAGCGGCTACTTCATCACCGACTGTTTGCTGGGCTTGGATGAGTTGTTCGAGGGAAAGCTCTTGGTTGACGCTGCTGATGGGGGCAAGCGCAAAGTGGACATCGCGGCTGAGGAAGCGATGAAGCTGAAGATGTTGATGGGTGCGGTTCGCGCCTTGTGGCGGAGCTCGCCTTCAGGACAGCACCCGCGGGTCTCAGAACTCAAGGGCATGCTGCGCCCTAGCCCATCTCGCCGCCGTCTAAAAGAGGAGGTTTCCTGTCCATGCCATTGAAGAAGTTTTTTGAGTTCCTTCAATACATATTTGAAGTATTGCTTTCACGGTAGGCGTCACCATGTTTTCAGAATCTGTAGTTTAAACTTTTTGTTGCTGGGTGCAAATGGAAAATCTTCAGCAAGGCTAGTGATGACGATGCTCCTTCTCCCGCAGCCGCGGCCGATGCTCCTTCGCCTGACGATGCTCCTTCTCCCGCAGCCGCGGCCGATGCTCCTTCGCCTGATCCTGTTCAAGACGGCGACGCTGCTGGTGGCTCTGACCAAGAGTCTTCTGAGGGTGGCCCTGAGTCTGACCATGGCAGTGTGGTTCGTGTGCCGGAGGAGAGGGATATCTTAAGCCAGACAACGCTCGAATTGCCAGGACTTGGCAGTAGCTTGCTAGTGATTGGTGGTAAGTGTTTTTTTTTTGGGTTTAACCAACGCATATAGTTGGTAAGCGGGAGTGTTTGTCACTGTCAAAGGTATCTTTTGCGTTTTCGGGCAAGCTTTGTAAAGGTGACTCTGAAGAGAGCCGCGATGGTTCTGGCAATGCTGACGGAGAGCCAGAGCCAGACAAGTCTCCAGACTCCCAACGCCCAGGTGCATGGATGTCTGGTGCATATTTGACTCACTCCAGCCAAGATAGACTCGAGAAGGTATGTGTGCCCATCGAGGTGTTGTTCGAGTGGATGGTTGACCGCCGTCCTTCTGCGACCGACTTTGTGGGTACCTTCACCAAGGCTGATTTGAGGCACCCAGCGTGATTGCAACAATGACAGTGCAGTTGTGTTGCAAGCACTGCTGAATGTATAGTCTTATGTTAATTTAAGTTTGGCTAAAGATTTTGAACTCCGCTACCAGTTGTAAAGCAAGCCTAATGCAGTTCGCTCCTCTTGCGTTCAGGGACCCTTTGTTCAACGACTACCTCTACTTTTGCGTGAGTGAGATGAGCAAAGATGGCCACAGTCCTTTGCACAACACTCTTGGCAGCCGCAACAACTGGCAGATCTGGCAAGCAGCTAGGAAGGGTGAGGCGGGGCACCGAATTCTGAAGAGTTTTGGGAAACTCTTGTGCTCAAATGTTCCGTTTGAATGAATAGGTCATTCAGGTTTGGTTACCACCTCCAAGTCATTCAAGTTTATATACTTCACTGTACTATACTATTTATATACTATTTCTTTACTATATATATGTATATATTTATGACCATCTATTTATCACCAAGTCCAGTCAAACCCGTGGAAGCAGCAATGGCCTCCAACCTACGCGAGCTGCCAACCCAAGAGCGTTGGCCTCCGACCTACTAGATGGCTCCCAACGCGATGGCCTCCAACCTACTAGTCATGGCCTCAGCGATGGCCTCCAAATGCCTCCAACCTACTAGCGATGGCTGGCAACCCATGCAAGAGCGATGGCCTCCAACCTACTAGCGGTTGCTTCCAACCTAAGAGCGATGGCCTCGTCATGGCCTCCAACCTAGAAACAAAGGCCTCTAACCGTGAAGAGCGATGGACTCCGATACCCACGCGCAGAGTTTTTTCTGCGCTCCGATGGATCAAGGCATCTTCATCGCGGCCTGTCGCAGCACCATCGCGCAAGCGCGCAAAGGACTGATGTTTGCCCAACAACAGGTAGAACGTGAAAAACCAACATAAACCAACATTGCATGCAGGCATGTTCCGATTTACTTGTGGGGCCACTCTCACCCTGGAGGAGGAGGTTGCAAAGGCTTCTTCTGACTCTGATTCAGATTCGATGCGGGTGCACTGCAAGAAGTCTGTCTGCCCCCCCCAAAGGATTTCGAGAAGGTGGCACACATGCTGGCTGGAGATGTTGAAATTCCTGGCAAACAGCATGTACCCGGGTTGAAAATCTCAAAGAAAGAGTTTCTATCAAGGTGTTGTTTTTCTATCCTGAAGTATAGGCTCATTGCCTTAACCCATGACCCGTGCCCGCAGGTGAGCAAGCCTTCTTCTTCTTCCAAGAAGACTTCGAAGCCAGGCGCAAAGGCGGCCAGCAGCAAAGTCGCCAAGACACACCTGAAGGAGGTTGGGCCTGGGGTGTTCAAGGGCTACAACCTCAAGGCCCTCGGTGTCCCGAAGGAGGCATGGCCTAACGTTGGCAAACCCTACAAGGGCATTCATGGGTATACAAAGATCAGCGAGAAGACCAACGCAGTTGCTTGCTGGCTACAGCAAGCCCTTTTCCATGTTCAGTTAAATTCTAAATAAATCTTCGGATCAAGACTATAGGTTGCCAAAGATCCCAACAAGTTTTCCACTTTCCATAGGGATTGGGGGGGAACCCAACGCGAACTGATCTCAGGCAGTGGAGGTGCTGTTGAACAAGAAGGCTTATGTGGTGAAACGTGTCGGCGAGGGGGCCGACGTGTCCAAGATCGGTCAGCTGACATGGTCGACCAATGGTGGACCACTTGAAGCGTGGAATCTTGCAAAGAAGAACGCTAACTATGATGGGTAGATTTTTGTGGCTGCTTTGGGGGGCAGCGTGCGCATACATGTTGGTATGCAGTAGCTGCATGGGGTTGTTCACAGAGCCTAGAGTTGCACAGGTCTTAGAGAGAATTTTGATCTGTGTGCAAAGCTCATGTGCCGGATTTGTCGATCGTTCCTTTACCACCGCTGCAAAAAAGTGAAGGCCTCAATCCGTTTCAATCATTTTTAGATGTCGCACACCTTAGATATCACCATCCTAGACATCAAACCTTAGATATCAGCTTTAGATATCACCAACTCAGACTCAGTTGGTTCAGGTTGGCTTCAACAACATGTTGATATATGGACAAAATCCCGACGCAGCAGGCTATGTCGCTGCGCTTCATTGCCGAGCGTCAGAGGACCGCGCATTTCGCTGCGTCCATGCCAGGGCCATCCATCTGCAGCGGAGATATCTCCTTAGATAGTTTGTTGAGAGGCCCTGAAAGTCCTTCCGGTCTCTTCTTGATTGTTTTGTGAAGGACTTTGAGTTACATTGGGTTGGCTTGCAAGTGTTAGTTTTATAGCCCAACGCAGGACCTGGGAGCTTTGAGTTGGGCCAATGACATCAAAGGACAGTGTATTCGGAGTGGTGAGAGGGTTGTGAAATCGGGGGACCAACGGCTTTTGTGAAAGTGAGATACGAAGTCTCAGCCTTCAATAAAGAAAGGGTCCAAACACTTCGCAACACGGCGACATTGAGCAGCGTTGCCTGGCCTAATGTTTTAAGGTGAGGCTCAAAAGGTGACTAAGCTCCTGATCCAATCTTGATTTTCCTTGGTCTCTTTGCAATGGGCAAGGGCCGTGCGGGCAGCATGCCGTTTGGGTCTTCGAAGGGTAAAAAGAAGACAAACCCCAATCTCTCCAAGACTAAGAAGCTGTCTTTCAAGAGCATGATGCGGACTGTTGTCTTGCAAGGCCTCAAACACCTAGGGGCGCCTTCCGTTCTTCTACTGATATTTCAGTAGTTTTTTTCTGTGTTGAAGACTTTGCAGGTCCAGGTCAAAACACAAAGTGCCCCTTTCGACCGTGTTTCCTGGTGTCCAAACATTAAAAACATGGCATATCCACAGCTGGCCTTGACCTGTCTTTGGCAACTGGCTCTTGAGGTTTTGGCGTTGCTGGTTGCATTGGTCTTCAGCACCAACAATCTGACCTGGTCTCCACTAGACCACTTTGAGACGTTTGCGGGAGCCCAATCAATCACAAAGGGCGAGAAGCAGGTTGGGGGGTCCAATGCTCAACCGCTTGTAACGGCTGCGCATTGTGCAGAGGGCGCCCGTTTTCACAGTTAACAAATAGAAGCATATATTGCCAT